TTACTCGGTATGCTTGCAACAGTCTTTATGTCCTTTGTTACCGAACGTAAACAGAACAAGCTATTAACCTAAATTATCATGGTTCCCGGAATATGGTCGGTAATTTAAAAATACAAAGAATTAAGCTATGGTGATTGATCTTTTCACCTCTGTTTTTGGACCTGAATTATGAATTTAATTATCATAACAATCACTGATATATATTAAGCGCTAACATATTCTAGAGTGCTGAACAATATGTAGACTAAGAGGTAGTGTCATCAAGACACGTTGGACATATAGGGGCAAATGGTGGTGAGGACACTGCTAAAGCAAGCTTATAGTCGAAATGTTAGAGACAATGGGATAGAGCGAAGTGGAACTCTTTTTTTTTTTGTACACCTTAGTACAGCCTTGCAGAGCCACTGACACCTCCTTAAATTTTGCATTGTAGCGAACTCTTGACTTCTGATTTCCATTCACCTCAATTGATCTTATTACTTGCAGTTTTAAATCCCTAATGAAGAATTGTAAAGTGCTTGGAATATGTTGGTGCTATACGCTGATTAGCCACAACACTACAACCATTGACAGGTAAAGTGAGTAACACTGATTATATTGTTACAATGGTACCTGTCGAGGGATGGGATATATTGGGTAGCATGTGAACAGTCAGTTCTTGAATTTAATGTGTTGGAAGCAGGAAAAAGAGGCAAGGAAAAAGGTCTGAGTGACTTTGACAAGGGCCAAATAGTGTTGGTCAGCCAAAAGGATCAGAGCAACAAGCTTTGTTGTGTGTTTCCAGCATGCAGTACCTTCCAAACGTGGTTCAAAGAAGGACAACCGGCGTCCGGCTCAGGGGCGCCCAAGGCTCATTGATGCTTATGCAAAGGCTAATCTGTCTTGTCTATTCACACAAAAGAGCTACTGTAACTCAGCTTTCTGAAAAACGCAATGTTGGCCATGATAGAAAGGTGCAAGAACCCACAGTGCATCACAGTTTGCTGCATATGGGGCTGCGTAGCCGCAGACCAGCTGGAGTGCCCACGATGTCTCCTGCCCACTTCTAAAAGGAGTCTTCAACAGGGGCATGAGCATTAGAACTGGACCATGTGGCAGTGGAAGAAGGTTGCCTGGTCTAATGAATCACATTTTTTTTTTAGATCAGGTGGATGGCCGGGTGCATGTGTGTCGATTACTGTAATGGACCGTTTTGCACACAAGAGGTTAAAAACCGTTTAGGCGATATTCCCCTTTCCAGATGCACCGACAGCTACTGTAAGCACCAATCTCCCAAACTGCAAACTACACGAATACTGGTAACAGCAGAACAGGAAAAGCCTACAATCAGCTTACACTACTGGCAATCAGCATACAATCCAATTCCCCCAATAACGAGACGAACCTTTGTTTTGAGGTCAAGCAGGAACAGACAGAGCTGTGGGTTTATTGTTCTTATATACACATTCTTACACATTAGTACCACTCACAGGGTTTTGGAAAACAACCAATAAACACGTACAATACACTCAGACACTCCCATACAAAATCCTCCCCTCTGCCTGTGATACAATTACCTTACACAATGGGTAATGTAATTATCACAGCCAGAGAAATACAGTTTTTCCACATTATTCATAACTTGAAAAGTATGCATCACATTTACATTTTCATAATCAGCATACTCCAAATACAAACATACCGGTATGTCAAAATCATCCAAATTGGTCCATTGGTTCAAAAGATAGATCGAAGTCCTTTGTGACCAAATGAAGCATGGCTTTTCTGCCCAAAACCAGTTCCACAGAGTCTTCTATCCTGGAGATAATTGGGAAGTAATCCAATTATCTCCAATGACAGAGGCAAAACTCCATTAACCACATGGCAGTAAAAAGACAGTAAAATACATAAAATTACATACTGTTACATTCATCACATAGAACATACACATTCTACCTATCCCCAGATAGCTTAGATCTGAGCGCACATTATTACCGGATGGCGCTCAGATCACATGCATAAAGTTCAATCGCCATGGAGCCAAAGTCTTTCCCATAGTCTTTCGGTATACGAATGGGCTCCATGGCTTAGCTATCTGGGGTAACACTGCTCACATAGGGAAAATAAAAGGTTTTTAATGCAGGGCCATAGTCCAGCGGCAAGAGGTGGGCAACCAGGCTCCTCCAGTGGCCAGTGGCGAGGTTGGTTCTGCCACAATTACATAGGGAAGAGGTGGCAGCAGGATGCACTATGGAAGAAGGCAGGCTGGCAGAGGCAGTGGTTATGCTCTTGGAAACCTTGGGTTCTGGAACTCATGTGGATGTTAAAGGGAAACTCCAGTGCCAGGAAAACAATCAGTTTTTCTGGCACTGCAGGTCTCCTCTCCCTCCCACCCCCCATCCTCTGATGTCCCTCGGCGGTGGTTTCTTCTCGCTGCTGCTCCTCCCAGTCTTTACTTCGGCCGGTGGGCGAGACTAATCCAGCCCACCGGCCTGGGAAGACTTAATGCGCATGCGCGGCAATGCCGCGCATGCGCATTAGAACTCCCCATTGGAAAGCATTGGACATGCTTTTCAATGCTTTCCTATGGGGAACTGAGCGACGCTGGAGGTCCTCACACAGCGTGAGGACGTCCAGCAACGCTCTAGCACAGGTTTTCTGTGCTATAGAGCAGGAAGTGCCCTCTAGTGGCTGTCTAGTAGACAGCCACTAGAGGTGGAGTTAACTCTGCAAGGTAATTATTGCAGTTTATAAAAAACTGCAATAATTACACTTGCGGGGTTAAGGGTAGTGGGAGTTGGCACCCAGACCACTCCAATGGGCAGAAGTGGTCTGGGTGCCTGGAGTGTCCCTTTAACTTGACAAGTACCACCGACCTAGAGATGGTTGCAGACCACCTACACCCCTTCATGACAATGGTATTTCCTGATGGCAGTGCCCTCTTTCAAAAGGATAATGCACCCTGTCACATTGCAAAAAATATACAGGAATGGTTTGAGGAACATGACAAAGAGTTCAAGGTGTTGCTTTGACCTTCTAATTTCCAAGATCTCAATTCAAAGGAGCATGTGTGGGATGTGCTTGAACCACAAATCTGATTCATGAAGGCCCCACCACGCAACTTGCAGGACTATAAGGATCTGCTGCTAAAGTTTTTGTGGAGTCTATGCTTCTCGCATCAGAACAGTTTGGGCAGCACAAGGGGTACCAACATGATATTAGGCAGATGGTTTTAATGTTTTGACTGATGAGTCTAAATTATGATAAGAATAATAATAATATAACACATAATATATGAGAACAAAAAGTCAAAGTAGCTTTTGCATCACTAACATCACTGTCCCCTCTTATGGACAGTATAGATAATAGGATGCGGAATTACCACTAATGTTTGTGCACAGCCAGGAGTTTTCTAGAACTGGAATCAAAATCAAGCAAACCGGGAAGTCGTTTGTTTTAATATAACTGATTACATGACATACTGTCACGGCTCCCGGTGGGTCTGTCGGCGTGGTTGCACATAAAGTAAGCAATCATGCCAACAGAAACAAATATTACTTAACTTGTTTGCGGTAGATCACTGCCTGACCTCCCTCCGGTCCGGTCCCCAGCGGGTGCAATGCTCTTTTTGTAAAATACTTACCATCGCCCACAACAAAGATGGTGCTAAAGTGCATGCGACTTCATGTCATAGACGCGCATGCACGTTTTGGCGTCAGAGGTCGGAGGCAGCCAATTACAGCCAAAGGAGGGTTATTTAAACCCAAATTACCTTTGGTTCAGTGCCCTGTCGTGTTTATCAGAGAGTGTGTTCCTGTTCGTTTTAATTCAGTTTTTTTTACTTTGGCTTAGTTTTGACTTCCCTAAATTCTGGTATCCTTAACTTTTGGACTTTCCTTATCGTTGTGTCTCCTTCTGTGTCCCCGACCTCGGCAAGTATTCTGACTATTCTTAGGTACGTTAAGATCACTCATTCTAAGGTCCGGTGAGACATTACCTTTAATCCTAGGTCTGATATAATTCTGCGTGCTGAATCAACTAGTAATCCTGACACATACATTATGTCAAATTGGAAATACCTATATATAAAAAAAATAACTGCAGTTTTCCTTTAATTGCACTTGATTCCTGATTAAAACTTTTTTTCTGTTCATCTTTTCAGCATCTCTCGGGATGAATCACTATTGATGCTCTGCTCTGCACAATTTGCTGAGAGAGTGGAGTTGTGGATTACCCCAGCTATTTAACTGTCACTACAATTGACATTGAATGTTTGTTGCTAAAGAAGAACGCAGTGGTTCCTTGCAATATGTTCACCATTTCCAAGTAGTGCGGTACAGTGACTCCTGCTTAGATGTTGAAGCTCTCTGGTTGTGTTGTGTTGCCATATTAAAGGTAAAACAGAATCACTTCCAAGTGCATAAAAATGATAAAGGATTATTTAACACATAAAGTCTGGGGATGTGTGACATTTTGTGATTTTGTTTTTACTATTTTGAAATATTTATTATTAATTGTCTCGATTTTTAATACATTATCTACATAATAGCCAGGTGTGCCCATTTAAGATGAATATTAAGATATTTTACCTCAATACCGCCTTGCCTGGTCTTGTAATTTACCCTTTTATCAATTTTAGAGAGGTCACCAATTTAATTAAAAAAAGGTTACCCCATCCAGGTATCACAGCCAGGGCAACTGAGCATCATAATGAGGCATTCAATGGCCACGGTGATAAAATGCATGACACATTGTAAATCCACACTGCATGTCTGAGCCCAAATTATGATATAGAGAGAATCCTTTCCAGCAAGTTTTTTTTTTTACTACACGTCCCCACCTACAGTAGAGTTTATTACGATTAAGATTCTAACCACCAGTTTATGGAGTGCCTCTTGCATCATGGCTCACTGAAATGTATGACTTGGGAAAAAATGGCATTCTCTTGTCCTTGTTTCATCTAGAGATCTCTTTTATGTTGCTGCCAGTTAAATTAGTTCATGGAGTGGAACAGTGATTTGCATATTGCTATTAACATTAATCTGGTAATATTTGACATAATGATAAAACTCTACAACACTTGGGATTAAGGCTCCTGACCCTAGTGTGCTGTTAGTGGTTGTCATCCCATATTACTCAGTAGCCACGCAGATCCTTCACATTTCCACAGATCTCACACCTGCAGCTTTTAGTGTGCTTTAACTTTAAAGGTCCTCTGATGCAGGTCATAACTTGCCCCCATCATTCTTCCAACTCACTGTTATATATTTATTATTATTAGACACTGTACACTCTGCAAACCAAAACAGATGGGCCTCAGACACTTGTGTTTGGCAACTATGCTAGTTAGGACAAATGGAGCAATCTTGGAATGATGTGAATTGCATAACTCCAAGCTAGCTCCCTTTGTCCCAAATTCATAATTGCCATACAAAAGTGTCTGAGGTCCATCTGTTTCCATTGCATACCTGTCCTAGTGGGACACACATTGATGACAAGGTGGCATAACAGGGTTGCACATGTTCTGAATGCTGTGGGAAAGCTTCTATATGTGTGAAAATGCCCAGAACAAGATTGTGTAGCTCCAAGAGCATGTTGACTTTTCTCTGAAGTCTCCAAAAGGAAGGACATACTAGGATGAAAGGGGCCCAGAATATGGACTATGCTTCCACATTCAGGATCGTTGGCACTGAAACCCACAGAATTGCCCAGAGACCCGCAGCCCAGTCCCCAAGTGTTCTCACCAGAAGGCATCCACATCAAGCCATTGCTCTTTAGGATAGCCTTTTTTTAACATCAGCCTTGTATTTCAGTTATATTCCTTAATTTATTTTGTCTTTCCCAAGTATGTTTTTCTTTCCTTACAGCTTCCTAGCATATAGAAGCAGGGACCCCAAACCTCCAGATTATATTGAACATATATTTCTGGAATTTACATTCTGCCCCATCTAACACTGATCTCTTGCATTTGCCCTATGCACGTATCTACATAACAGACATCTTGGATCTGTGCATCAAACCCTAAATGTATCCAAACTGGTGCTCATTTACACAAAACAAAAATCAGATGCACACCTCAACCACAACCTAAAAGATATTCAAGTTCTGACCCCATGCACACCTCAACCAAACATAAATCTGGATTCTGCCCAATGCACTCTTTTAATAATCACATGTATTAGTTATACCCAGGCACATCGACACTTAACTAGCATCTTACTTCTGCCCCATGTAAAACTAACTCCTAATAGGCATTGAGGTTCTGTCTTGACTTGTACCCAACAGGCATACATGTTCTGCCTCCATACAACAGATCTGGATGTTGCCTCCACCCAACAGACATCCAGTTTCTCCTTCATGTATACCCTACCAAGCAGCCATCCTTATACAAGAACAGATAGACAGTCTCTGCCCCACAGAGAAATAAAACATATACCTTTATGACAAGTATATAGCTGAGGTAAGGGTTACTGCAGTACCCCCAAAAAATCCAAATACAAACATTTCCTATTGTGCTGCTGACACCTCCCTCTGTAGCTCCACGCAGGGTAAAGTAATCCACAAAAATAGAGAAATATTGAGGGCAGCGCAAAAAAGATTTATTTACATTGACATAAAGCAAAAAAGTTTCAGGTTATCCTCAAAACGTTTGTACTTTATGTCCTTGTAAATAAATCTTTTTGTAGCACTTGGTGTGCACATTTGCAATTGTTTGTGCTTCCCTCATTTTTTGGCTATTTTTGTCCACACATACGTTTTAACAGACATCAAATCTACCTTCACTCATCAGGTTTTGCAGAAATTCTGACTTACATGTTTATTAATGATTGTTTGGATTTAGCATTGATATAAAATATAAGACATATGTCAATATGCTATGTTTTTTTATAATTAAAGGAACACTCAAGGACCCAAAGCAACAGTAGCTTAATGAAGAGGTTTTGGTGTATAGATCATGACGTCCCCTTGAACAGGTGTGTAAGAGAAAGCATGATCGCTGCCTCCTGATAGGTTGCCAGGGTAAAGGGGTAACAAAGTTGCAGGTAACCCAGCTTATATAAGGGGAGAGGCTTACCAGACAGAGCAAACGTCAGTTGAGTGAGGCTGATAGTGTTACCTTTAATCTCATAGGTTTGGATATCATTAATTTGGGTTTGTACTCTGGGATTGATTGGGCACTGGCTGTGGGCGTGAGAGCGAGGGGATGCAATTCTGGCCCCAATTAGTTGGGCTCAGCATTGCGGTGGCACATATCGGGCTCTGCCTCTGCTCCTTCAGCATGCGCATTAGTTCTTCCACCATTATACAGTGCTTTTCTATGGGTTTTGGGTGATGCTGAATGTCCTCATGCATGGTGTGAGGACATCCAGAGTCAGTTATCGCCTAACGACCTGGAAGTCCCTCTAGTGGCTGTCTAGTAGACAGCCATTAGAGTTGTAGTTAAAGGATCACTATAGGGTCAGGAACACAAACATGTATTCCTGACACTATAGTGAGAACCCACCATTTAGGTGGCTTGTCCCCCCCCCCTCCCCCAAATCCCCTCAGAATGCATTAAAACTCACCTTATTTTCAGCTTTTGACAGGTCCGCCCCCTTGGTGACATAATCAAATTGCCGATTTTTAGCCAATCCAATGCAGATTGGCTAAAATCAGCAAGGGTCCGGGGCCAAATGCTGTTTTGGCCAAACAGCACCTCCTCATAGAGATGCATCTCTATGACGAATATTCAGCGTCTCCATATAGAGCGTGGGGACGCTGAACGGCAGGGCTGCCTACTGTGCAGCACTGAGCCAGGAAGCCCCTCCAGTGACCATCTAAGGAGTGGCCACTTGGAGGTGTCCCTAAGGTCAATGTAAACACTGCCTTTTCACTGAAAAGGCAGTGTTTACATGAAAATGCCTGAAGGGAGCTATTATACTCATTAAGCTGTAGTTGTTCTGGTAACTATAGTGTCCCTTTAACCCGCAAAGATAATTATTGCAGTTTACTAAAACCTGTACTAAAAAAGGTTAAGGGAACTGGGACTATGCACCCAGACCACTTCAATGAGCTGAGGTCTGGGTGCCTATAGTGTCCCTTTAAGCAAAATTAGTTTGGATGCTTAGAGTGTCCTTTAAGAGGTGCATCTGATTTATATGGAGAACTAGAATTTTTTTTTTCATAAAGAAACTGCTTTGCTGGTAATCTGGTTTGTTTTCCTATAAAGGAAAAAAATAACACGTAGAGGTCTCATTTGTCATCAAATTATCCAATCAACAGCAAAAAAAGGTTTCTGCTCTAGTGCTTTCCTTTGCTCTTAATCAGATATAGATTTTACCAAAAGCCGCAATTTAATCAGAGACAGATTCAAATGTGCAAGGGGCCATTATTTATGCATCAAGTAAAATGTCTGTGCCAGGGACTACACGTAACACATGGCAGAGTATTACGCCTGACTAACGCCATTCATCATGTGTAGCGTGGGTGAGTGTCACAGACCCCCCAAGTCATGTTGTGTAAAACAAGCCAGTGTTTATTTTATTCTGCTTCATCCACAGGAGAGAATTCGCTGCACGTTTCAAGCTTAAATGCAGAGAAACTTAGTTACAATTTCAATTACAGACAGAAAAACTCAAGACCCCTCATCAAATTAGCTGGGGGAACAAAAAGGCATCTAGCCACTTATACAAAGAGCAAGAACACACACATTTTAGAGCACTGGGCTGCACAGACACAGTGGATTTGCTTCTAAAATGGGAATTGTGGAGGACTGACAAGCAAAATACACATTTGAGACCAAAATAAAACTAAACAGGAGTTAGGGAATATCTTTAGGTTGTCTGTTTTCGCCCCAAAATTTGCAATTCTCCACAATCGTTGATTTAGTGAATGAACCCTATTGCTCTTTCTCCTAGCATATTAGGAATATTTACTAAAGTGTGACTTTCAGGAATTCAAAGTCAATTAAACATTTTAGGCCAAAACTGACAGAATTAAAAAAAAAACCTCAAAGTTTTTAGTTGGGCTACCTGGTTTCAGTTGTACAGTATCCTGATAAGCTATTTTGGCCTAGAAATAATGATAGCTAGCACTTTAGTAAATAATCCTGACAGATATTTTCAGCAGACGTGCAAACCCTAGTCTAAGCGATACATAGGGGGTTATGTATAAATGTGTTTCCTTTCGAAAGACCGAGCAATTGTGACACCAGATTTAAGTACAAGTACACATGTTGAGCCAACAAAAATAAGAAAAGTGATCTATTTATTGTTTAGAGATTGTGTCGCACATAATGTATACAAATAGAAACAGAAGTTCGGTTTCAGATCACTTTATTGCACTACAATCCTTTGCCATCCTGTATCTGGCATTATCTGCACTGTGTAGCAGTATGAGAATAAAAATGTACAATTGTGCCCCTTTTCCCTAATGTATAAAGTTTATTTATACATCTTTATACATTCCTTACAGATACAAAGGCAAAAATATAACCAAATGAATCATGCTTAGTGTTAGCGATATTGCCATTATTTATACATAATCCCCATAATGCACACTTTCTTCTTACTGCCAAGAAACGATAGGGTTTATCCACTAAACAGCAAACTGTCGTGAACTGAAAAGCAAACTCCACAATTTAAGCTAAAATAGGAAAGCTGTGACTATAGCAGGGTTGGAGAATTTTGCCAATTTAGCTGTCTGTGCATTTGTTTTTCAAATCTAGCTTTCAATTCATTCCAATTCGGTGTTTTTGTTAATGAACCTCTATGTCATACCATAGTATATAGTAACCCTAATATAAGTGACAGACATGCTTCTCACATTCTGTCATACAAACATATAGGGGCTGAGATGGAGACATGATTCCACTTCCACTATTTTGGTCTAAATGTTGCGACTTTGTTGTCAATGCACTTATTAGTGAATAAAGCCACATGAAAAAAAGGTCTTATCCTTGTAACATATACATACCTATATTTAGGCCCTATCTCTCAAGCTTTCCTTACACCCAAAATATCAGAAGAATAAAAGTACCATATATTTCTAAAACATATATATATATATACACAAATATGAGGGCACATACCTTTTACCACCTCTTAAATACACAATTTAATTACATACTTCGGATTGCTTTCTAATACAGAGGCATCATAACACATTTTGCATCCAAATACAAAGACTTCAGGACATGTATCTCTCCCGTTCTCCAAATATATAGACATCAGGACACATACCATACACATATATCGGGTCACATACCTTTCACATCCTGCTAATACACATATATCAGGTCAGATACCTCTCACATCCTGCTAATACACATATATCGGGTCACATACCTCTCACATCCTGCTAATACACATATATCAGGTCAGATACCTCTCACATCCTGCTAACACACATATATCAGGTCAGATACCTCTCACATCCTGCTAATACACATATATCAGGTCAGATACCTCTTACATCCTGCTAATACACATATTTCAGGTCACATACCTCTCACATCCTGCTAATACACATATATCAGATCAGATACCTCTCACATCCTGCTAATAGACATATTTCAGGTCACATACCTCTCAGATCCTGCTAATACACATATCAGGTCATATACCACTCACATCCTGCTAATACACATATATCAGGTCACATACCTCTCACATGCTGCTAATACACATATATCAGGTCAGATACCTCTCACATCCTGCTAATACACATATATCAGGTAATATACCTCTCAAATCCTGCTAAGACACATATCAGATCACATACCTCTCATGTCCTGCTAATAGCAGGTCATATACCTCTCACTTCCTGCCAATACACATATATCAGGTCACATACCTCTCAGATCCTACAAGTACACATTCAGAAGAAAACACCACTCTCACTTCCCATTAGCACACAGACATTATAAAATAACGTTAATCGTCTTCTCATTCAAACGTCAGGACACCTCCTAATACACAAACATTGGGACACGTCTCTGTCAACCTATAACCTCACCCTTGTTCCTAATACAAAGCTGCAAAAACAGACATTTTGCTTTTTCCACAGACACATGAACAAATGCCTCCCACTTGTTCCAGCACTGGAATATATGTGTAAAAACCCATTGAACCTTAAAGGCAGGAGATATGTACAAGTCAGTTTTCTGATACCACTCACACATTGCGCTCTTTATGCTCTTAAAGCGCAGAGATCATGGGAAAGCACTTCTTCTTAATAACAAAAATCCTGATATATAAAAAAGGAAGACTTAAAATAACATTTATCCGTCTGTTGTGGTTTTGTGTATTTTGCCCCCAAAATCTTTCTCCCATTCTCTAGACCCTGGCACTACCATCTTTGAAAAAGCCAGGTCCAATTTAAGAAAACACATACTTTTAGTTTTTGTTTTTTTTAAATAAAGTGCAAGCGCTCACTCATGCAACACGTACATTTCCAGCACATTTTTACATTTGCAGACATATTTAGGTAGGCCACTGAAAATAATATATTTTACAACAATATTTCCTCTGAAACAAAATAAAAACGATGGAAGATCCTATGATGTGGTTATTTGCCACCAGACAGAAAACTTATTCAAATTGAGCCCTGCTGTTGGCTTATATCAAGAGTTGCCAAAAAGTAGAGACTGACCCAGCTGTACATGGGAACTGCGGTTCTTCAACAGCTAGGAGTCTACTTTCTGGTTATCATTGGTTTGCAAAGTAGTCTAGAATAAAACGATTGTAGTAATCTTTCCTTAAGCAGTCTTGTGGCATATTTCATCTATTGCAAAAGGGAAAAAGAATATGGGAGGAAGGGTAAGAGATCGATGCATTTTGAACTGGAGATTACAAAGATAACAAATCTCATTAACATGGGTTTATGTTTTATCCACAGAGTCAAAATGATTGCTGACAATTCTATTTTGGAATATAGGTCTGCAGTGGAACCTATCAAGTCAGTGGTAATGGAAAAATGTTTTACAGAACGTGTGGTGCAGTGGTCACTGGACGATGGTCTGCAGAGCGCTTACTAAGTCACAGAAATATCCTACTGGTCCTGTAGTCTTCAGCGGTAGCTAAAGGTTCAATGTTCTACTCGCTCTGGAAAGATTAAAACAGCATCACCAATGTTTCATGAATCTCTCCAGCAGCAGAGATCACCCTGAGCTCCAGGACTTTGTAAAGAATGATGAGTGATAACTGTTCACCATGCTAAAATGTCACCAAATAATAACCGGAAATCAGGTCAGACTCCCTCTGCTCCAAATGACACCCCAGACTTTGTTGGGGTGGGGGGATTTGTGTGTTCCC